CCTTACTCGTGGTTCTAGCTTCTTGGCGTACTCAGAAAGAGGAGGATGGATAATGATATCAGTATTGGCACTTAATTTTGCTTCCGTTGCTGTAGTATTTATTTTTACAGGCAGAAATTGTTGATGTGCTTATTATTTGCATATATAATATTACCCTGGGTTGTACACAAATATGGCGACCGGAAATGATATGACGTCACGTGAAAACGATCTATATATGTGTATATGTGAGAAAATTTTAGTTAAATGTCAAGTCTACAAAAAAAAACAACAATACTGACCACAGTTGAACACGGAATTGGAAGTATGCAGACATGCAAGCAATTGAACACGGAATTGAAAGTATGCAGACATGCAAGCAATAGACCTCTTTAGCCTCATATGTCATAGATTGGCCACCTGGTCTGAAATGGCTAAAAAATACAAGTTGCCATTATGGTAAATTAACTCCGCGAAGAATGGTCCACTACTGTCGTGTATGTTTATAACTACTAAAATGTTTCTTCAAATTCAGATAAGTATTCTCATAAATACCCTAAGCTTCGGAAGGTAAGTATCTGTGGTACATTTCTTTTAGATGCACAAAGTTGCTTTTTTAATCCGCTTGAGTAAATGGTCAAAAAAGTAGTTTTGTCTTGTCTTGATTTTTGATTTTTTGAAGCTAATTGGATTGGTAAATGAGGTGATGTTGGGTTTCTGAGAAAATTAATCCTTCTTACCTTAAGGAATTGTCAATTCATGTACACTTAATGTGATAACTGAATTATGGTCTAGAGGGAATTTATATACACCAATCTCCTTGAGGAAAGTGTTCTGTAACTAATACTTCATTTAGTGGTTTCATTGGCTCTTTGGGTGACAGAGATCAAAATAATATTGATGAGTTTAACTAATATGCGAGCCTGCGAGCCAGAGCCGTGTTTTGCTAGCATCGAGCCTCCTCTTGAGAGCCACTGTTTTTTTTCTATATCTCTCCATTTTCTCTTCTTTTGTTATTCGAACAATTTTTGGCTCCTTTCCAGAAAGCATTTGAAGGTAAAAATCTGAAAAACTAAAAAAAACAAACTGTAGCATGAAAGTGCTTTGTACCCAGTATTCATGCACTGATGTGCTCATTTACGACCTGGGAGGATTTATTGCTGCCAGAGCATCAGTGCAGTCAGCAGCAATTTTTTTTCAGCATCTAAGGCCATAATTTCTGTCAGTATCTCTTGAAAACAGCGCGAAACTGCCTCCTTCAAAAGTTAGGACAGTCTAATGCACCACTTAGACCACTATCTTATGCTCAAGATAACTCTTAAAAGTTCAGGATTTTTTAATTCTTCAAAAGTGACTTCATTCAGCGGCAGTGAAACCAGACAATAAGAAGATACTTGGCATGCCATCATTTCATTTTTGTTGCCAACTGATCGTGAGAAATAGTGAATTAAACCGATGTAAGCAATGAAATACCAAACTTGACAATAGATGCCGCACTGAGCGCGGCAAAAAACGGGGAGGATCGTAATAAACCACAACTCATCACGAGTCATACAAAAACTTACCTTGCTGTCATTAGGATTAAAGCCTCCCAAATCTGACAATTTAAAAGCAAAATGTGTAAACAGTATTAGTACTTAAACATCTGTGTAATTTTAATGAAAAACAAACACTTTGTGGAACAAATTAAATGAAAACAAAACTTACCATCCGGGAGAGAAGATTCCGCCACATTTGCACTTTGCAGAACACATATAGACCGTATGTAATCAAGACCATAAAAAGGTATTATGTCCATATTTTGATGTTTCAGGTGGAAACCTTCTGGGCTCGCAAGAAATGGCTCTAGCTCGCCAAAAAAGGCTCAGAATCACAGGCTCGCATAATAGCAACCCCCAAAATTGACAAACAGTTATGGAAAATGAATTTTTAGTGACACCTATAATGCTCTCTATGACTATTAATTATTACACTTGTACACTCATGGCAAATTAGAACATTTATTTTTATTTTCTCAAGGCAAAAGACCACTCTGTATTGGTTTACTGACATAAACCCCCCTGAGATGTTGTCAGAATACAAAAGAAGTTTGCAAATCACATGCGTCCAGTTTGTGAGCGAGAAGTTTCTCTCTTGTTCTTATGCGAGGGTTATTATGCTGGTAAACTTAAAGAAAGCGCGGTCTGCGGCATGTTTTTTGTTAAACTTGTCTAAACTGAAAATAAAGGCCGAAAGTTTCTAAAGAAACTGTGGTGCTGCGTCGGTGGGGGTAACAAGGTAATTTGGTTATATCAACTAAGATGAAATTGTAAATTGGCCACCGCAACGAGTAACAGCCCTTTGTCAGAGCGAATGGAGGAATTGTGGGTTGTGTGTGGGTTTATATGCAGAAAGCGGAGCTACGTTATTGGTGGGGACATGGCGACGAGAAAAACAGGAATAAATTTGTGGAATTAAAAGCGTTCGTTGATACCTGTGGGATTAAGAGTGCCGATTTTAAAAATAAACTTTTGTTTAAGAGTTTTGCAGCTTTCCTTGCTTCCTAAATGTAAGGAAAGACCGCCGATTGGCATATGTTGCTTAGAATGGTTAGGTCAATTGAAGTGTCTAGCGACTGGTTTTGATGCGTTCTTGTCATTCCTTTCTACGTAGCGAAGGTGTTCTCAGAGTCAGTCACCTAGTCGTCTTCCATCTCTTTGCAATAAGTGCAAGTTATGCAATAGATTACGTTGGCGGAGGTAGACGTGAAGTGATCGGTGATCTTAATGGATCGCTTGGGTCCCGATATTTTCTCAGCGTTGTGAATGAAAGGACAAGTTTTGTATCGTGCGCGAGTGTATTTAAAAGTGCCGGGTTAGTCATTAGTTTGGAAAGAACTTCTTTTCACTGCAAATGTGGCTCAATTCAAAGTTTTTATGGCATCAGTATTGAAATCAAGGTCTCACACAATGAATTGATCAGTAATGATAAGTATAGTTCCAAAACTGACAAAAGAAATGGAAGCATGGCATGATCTCCAAATAATAAAACAGGGTATTAACTCCACCCAGTACATATGATGCTTTGCTCAGCAAACTCTGCATTTATTAAAGCACTTCCAATATTTCTGGTGATTGAAACCTCAGTAGACAGCAGATTGTAATTGAGCAACTGAATAAACTTAAAATTCAATTTCAAAGTGCTGTGTCAATTGTAGGCTCGATTTCCATTGCTTTCTCAGGTCCGACCTTTTTTGGTTCTCGAACAGCGGCTGGTAATTGAGCCTATGTCAATTGTAGTATCAGAAATATGTCTAAGCTGCTTCTTGGCAGAAGTCTGAAATGCAGGTTCTGGGTATCATTCTACATCCCCTAACTCTCTGAAACTATGAAATATTTTTAATAGACAAAACAAACTCATCTTAGCATATTTTGTTTAATTTTTACTCCTCCATTAGTTAACCCTTTAATACCATAAAATGTCTACACATCCAATTTCTCCTTACAATATCACCCTTTAATCACACGGCACATAAATGTCACAAGAATAAAGGAAATGATCTCCAACTAGAGAAGTTCTTGATTGTCAAACAAATTTTAATTTCTTTGTCAGCGTCTTAGGAAATGTAAATAAAATAGCACGGAGAATATACACGCAGATCTTTAATTCCTTACATCTCTTTACATTAAATATTTTTCTACAGTCACATTAAAGGGCTAGAGAGTCATGTTGGGATTTAAGATCTCAGTGGAATCCTTTCTGCATAATGATATCTCATGGATGTCTAAAAGGAGTGTAATTAAGGCAATTCCTGTTTGCTATTGTCGTTTACTCCAACAAATTTTCATGTAAAAGTTAATTTCCCCCCGGTGTATGGCTTTCCTAGTGTTACGCCCCTTGGAATTAATTGAAATTAGTTGTGCCTCACTGTTAAAGTTTGCTAACTGCCACAACTGACATGCCATTTACATCGTTTCATGGGTGTTCCATGTTTTATATTTCTGTCTTTTCCCTAACAGTTACCTTATTTCTATTTCTGAACCTATCAATTTCCTACAGCTCACCCATTAGCCCCTATTGTGAAGAGAAGTGAACATCGTATAACATTTTAATGTTGTTCTTTATAGCTGCAGTAGTCAGTATTAAAGATCTCCAGTGATGTCTAAGCTATCAAAGGTAACAGGAATGTGATAATTGAATCTTCATGTAGGACTGAATAGTTTAACTTTTATCACAATGAAGAATGCTGCTAATTAAAAGTAATAAATGCTTATAACTATGATAACTTTCATTGTCTGTTCAAGGATCTATTATAAACTACATGTATTACACTTTTAAACTGTAAAACACATATCATTTGGTTAATAATGGTAATTGAACTGAGTGGAGTGCAATTTAGGCTGAAATCATACGCGTGATTTGAAATCACAAGTATGATTTCAGACCAAAATTGCACGACACGAGGTTCAATTACCACTTTATTACATCCATTTTGAAATTGCCCAAATACAGAACTTGGTCAATTCAAATATTTTATTGATGCAGTACTGAGCCGGTTTTTAAATGAAAAGTGGAAACGGAAACGCATTTTCATCTTATTTTGTTTGTT